TGGCGTGTCTGGTGCCCCGAGAGCATCCCCGGCCGGCATTCTCCGTGCCAAGGACCTCTCCAGGGTGGAGACCAGCGGTCCAGAGGGAGGAGATGCTGGTGTATCTGGGCCAGACCATCTTTCCGTGAGCGGTGCCTGGGGGTCTCAGGGGTAGGAAGGATGGGTCATGCTGTCCGCGAGGCATGCACCGAGCCCCCGCGTTTGGCTTGCTCGTGGGTGTCGCTCCTGCTGTAACAGCAACCTGGATAAATCTGACTTTCCTCATCCTAGCGCCCCAGGCCGTGATCTGCCCACGGCACGAGAGGAGGCTGTCAGGAGCGCTGCCCTGTTTGACCTTGCTTGGGTTTTTTTTTTCCCCTGATTTATGTAGAAAGAGGAGGCTCTCAGGGCAGCGCCCAGCTCTGGGGCTGCTCTCCTGTGATTTGCCTGAGTGCCGAGGGGCTGAGGAAGGGCCTCACCGTGCCCGGAGCTGGGACCGGGACAGGCATCCAGCAGCTGCTGTGCCAAGGCCATGTCCCTCGCATGTGCCATGGCACCAAGGTCGCTTTCAAAGCATTTGTAGGGAGCGTCTGCGGACACAAGAGGCTGTTGTGGGAAAGGGAGGAGCTGGGCGGTGTTTGAGGAGATTGAGGAACCTGGAGGAGGATCAGCAGGTGACCGCCAGCTGCAGCAGCGGGCAAGTAGCTGCTGACCTTGACTGCCCAGCTCAGAGCGAAGCTGGATTTACTCGCATCGCCTTCTATACCAGTCACGGTAATGACTCGTTCTTATGGTTTGGTGCAGAAGGGGAGCTGGGTGGAGAGGGGGGCAGAGGCGCGTGTCCCAAGCGAGGAGACAGCCCATGTGGCAGCGCCGTGACCACATGCAGCTGTGCCAGGTGCTGAGGGTGTCCGAAGCCGGAGAGGAAAATCCACAAAGCCGGCTTGCCGCGTGGCCATGGTTGCCTGCCCTTAAGAAAACAACCTTTCAGGCCAACGTTCAGGGCTTCTCGCAGTCCTCCCATCACATGGGAAGGGCAGAGCTTCAGGCGTCATCGGAACAGATCGGTGGTGGGTACAGGGTAGAGCGTCTCGTAGCGCCTGTGTGGGCTTGTTAAACACGTCTGCTCTTTGCGCAGAAGCTGGAGGGCTCCTGCTGGAGGCTGTGCCGGTACAGAAACGTGCTGGCATTTAAGAGCCTGGATCTGGAGATGCTGTGGGATGCTCTTTACGCCCTCGCGGGCCTTCTCGTGCCTCCAGCAATAGCGCAGCACTGCTGCTGTGCCGGCTGCGCCGCTGCCTCTCGCCTCTGCACCTGCCCCTGGGGCTGCAGGGGCAGGTAACCGGCAAGCGCCCGGCGTCCTGCTTAAATAAACCACCCTCATCCGTGTGAGCTTCCCTCCGTCCCGGTGGGCCTGACCCTGGCTGAGCCCTTTATCCATCTCCCCTTGCCTTTTCCAGCAGAAGGTCACAGGCTTTTG